CTAACAAATCATAAAACTAACCAGAATCACACTACTAAATCAAATCCATACCTTGATAATATAAATGTCACCATAATTGGTCCACGAACTTCGACAAATGATTTCTTAACTATGGTCCAAAACTTTATATGAAAATATCATAATTTAATTTGAATTAAAAAATTATTTTACTTTCTCAAACCATACATTCATTTCTTTAATAAATCTCTAGTTTCTAGTACTTAACTCGAGTTAATTTTAATACAATGGACACAATTGGTTGTCATTTACTTTTAACTAACGTTAGAAAGAATTGCAATTAGTGTCTAGAATTGAATAATGAATTGTGTTGTCAGTGGATGTCACCCACAGTCACACAAACTTCAGTCTCAAAGTTGGCAAACTTTAACATTTTGATAAAAACTTGTTTGTGAACCTGATAAAATTTCAAATCTTATAAAGTTATTTCCTAAGGCTTAAGAGTACGTTCAATTGGTCTTAATCAGGAAATAGGATATCAATTAGATTTTAAGCACTAATATTGAACACAATCATAGACTACAATACAATACAGTAATTGTACTGTATATTTGTTTAATTAAACCTGTCTATTAATAATAATTATAAATTATAATGCTAAAATTGTATAAATAAAATTATGCTGTATCAATACTAAATGACAATACTCTCCAGTGTATAATATACTGGATATTATCCTATTGAGTACCAAAAATGTGTCCCAGTATCTATAAAATGTTCAGTGCATAATGCACTGTATGGTGAAAGGGGGCCGGGATTACAGTATATAAGTTAAGTAATTATAAGTTAAGCGTTAATGTGTATCAGCCGTACACTATGTGTGAGTCTACGAGTAAAACACACGCAAAGCATACGGTCTATGAGTGTCTCTATGGGAACGCTTAGCCTATGCATTGAAGACTTGTTGAACTTTTCACTCAAAAAGTCTCGCATTTGTGATAATGAGAGACAAAACAAATCAAGACTCACAACCGATTACTGACTGATGTCTGAATAGTATATAAAAAAGTTTGTCATTAGAAAAGTAGACATTCAGTGAAAACAGACGTCCCATTGATTACACGCCGGTGTTTACAGTGAGAGGTTGTCCTCAAAGTACAGAGAGTTGAGTACATTATAAGGAAAGGGAGGTATAAGTAGTGGTATTGACGGCAATGGATGTGTTTGGAGGCAGTAGTGATGGCTTGTCGTTGACATCAGCGCTCAAAACTGTGGCCTTTTATCTTATGATCAGTGTCTGTGTGGCTCAGACACTATACCCACTGTTGATGATCGTCAATATGTGGCTCCGGAGGGCGAACATCTTCTATCACTACTTCCACAAAGTAATGCAAACCATTGTCTCATTCAATGATCTCTTGTTTTTGTGTCTTTTCGCAGTTTGTTTGTGTCTTTTGACTCGTGTTTCGCATTGAGTTACACAACAAATCAATCAAAGCCTGTGTTTCCTAAGAGCCCTCACTTACCATACAATTAGCGATTACTTCATTATTGACCCCTTTTTTCAGACATGCCTTTCCTCCGCATGTCTTTCCCATTGACTTTTTGTTTCGTTTACAGTTTCAAGTCAATTATAATCACATTATTTGGGAAATATATTCACGAAAAATAGGCTAAACTTTAAATGATTGCTAAAATCCATAAAATATTAACTTTTTTTTGTTAACTTAATTGCAAATTACATATTCCTTGAGATGCCTGTCACTCCTTCCCTACCATTAGATCCCTTTCCACTTTCATATCTACTGTCAGATAGCCTTATATTTCTTCAGATCAGTTCTGAATCTGAACTTCAGATCACATAACGTGTCCATAAGTTTGTAGGAAAAAATGTTTGCGTTTATCACTAAAACTCATAAAAAAGTTGATCAATACTTGTGACCAAATGTCTGACGAATTGATGTCTTCATCAAAGGTGGACGAGAAGAGTGTCCGACACGGAGGAGAGCTCGTGGCCGCTGTGTTGCGATCGCATGGCGTCGAGAATATCTTCACTCTGTCGGGCGGACACATCGCACCCATTCTCACCGCATCCGAGAAGCTCGGCATCCGAGTGGTGGACACCAGGCATGAGGTGACCGCTGTGTTTGCGGCCGACGCCACCGCCCGACTGTCGGGCATCCCTGGCGTGGCTGTCGTGACGGCAGGTCCCGGAGTGACCAACACTGTGACGGCCGTCAAGAACGCACAGATGGCTGAGTCGCCAATCGTGGTGTTAGGCGGCGCCGCGGCCTCTCTTCTCAAAGGCAAAGGCGCTCTTCAAGACATCGATCAGATGTGAGTCTCTATTGTGGCGCCAATTGTTTGCATCAATTGAATGATAATTTATTTTCTAATCAAACTATTAGTTCGCTCTTCAAACCGATCACAAAGATGGCGACGACTGTCACCAAAGTCAGAGATATTGTGCCGAAACTGCGCGAAGCCTTCAAAGTGGCCCAAAGCGGAACTCCCGGCCCCG